CAACACCCCGCGTCGGCCAGTCTCGCCATCGGCCGTCGCTCAACATTCGGCGACGCGATTGTCGCAATTAGGTCGCACATGCGATGGTTACTAGAGGGTCCTGCGACGGTGTCGCACGGTCCGTTCCATCGGCGGCTTATAAAGCTGCTCGCGAAGAAGCCCCCGGCGCCGCCCAAGCTTCCGCCTGGTGAGCCACCGTCGATAACGGCACGTGCGCCGCGTTCGATCCCGTGTGTTCCCCGCCCCGGCCCCCGTCATGCTTTCAAAGGATGTTTTTTTTTTGCCGCCATTCCGGCAAATGTGTGCTGTACTAGTGACTCGCATGCCTGCACCCCCTTTCTCTCTCCCCCCCCCCCCCCCACCCCCCCCCCACCGCCCCCCTCCCCTCCGAGGAATCCCCCCTCCCCCCCCTCCCTCTCCCGTTTTTTTCCGAAGGATGAGTCATTCCGCTCTCATCCCATCCGCGCTCATCCCCCTCCTCTCCCCGCTCCACCCTTCCGTCCGCCTGTCCGCGCCCGCCCGGGTCGCCACAGCGGTCGTGGCGTGCATGAACGTGACGTGCCCGCAGGACGCGGCGTGCGCCGTGGACGGCAGCAACTTCCCCTTCTGCAAGTGCAACGGGACCCTCGTGCTGATCAACGGCGCGTGTGTGCCAGGTGAGATCAACGGCTCGTGCGTGCCAGGTGAGATCAATGGCTCAGGTCCCAATGCTGGCTCCACCACCCCATCCTTTCCTCTCAACATCTTGTGCTCCGGCGCTTCTCTCGCCCTCGCCCTGACCCTGACCCATTCCCTCCTCATCGCCTGCATTCCGCTCACTCCCCTTCCCCTTCCCCTTCACCCCCTCCACTCCCCTTCCACTCCCCCCTCCCCCCCTCCGCCCTTCCGCTCTCTCTCCTCCCCCTCCCCCCCCCCCCCCCCACCCCCCCTCCCCCCCCGCCAGCCATGGACGGGCAGGTGGTGGTGACGAGCGTGCTGCTATTCGCCACCGCCAAGTACGCCCCCGCGCCGCCCGTCGTGCTGCGCGGCGCCACCCCCAACCGCACGTGTGTGAACCTGGCCGCGCCGCGTGCGGGTGCCGTGGGATCGCTGCGCATCCTGTGGAGCGTGAAGGACGGCAGCAGCGGCGCGAGCCGCGTGATGTGCGGGAGGGTGCTGTTCTGGAACCAGAGCGACTGCAGCGGCTCGTCGTCGGCGTTTGAGGTGCCGGGCGGGTGGAAGAAGGCTGATGCGGCCAAGACCACCTACGCCGCCACCAGCAAGTGAGTGACCACCTACGCCGCCACCAGCAAGTGAGTGACCACCTACGCCGCCACCAGCAAGTGAGTGACCAACTACGTCGCCACCAGCAAGTGAGTGACCACCTACGCCGCCACCAGCAAGTGAGTGACCACCTACGCCGCCACCAGCAAGTGATTGACCACCTACGCCGCCACCAGCAAGTGAGTGACCACCTACGCCGCCACCAGCAAGTGAGTGACCACCTACGCCGCCACCAGCAAGTGAGTGACCACCTACGCCGCCACCAGCAAGTGAGTGACCACCTACGCCGCCACCAGCAAGTGAGTGACCACCTACGCCGCCACCAGCAAGTGAGTGACCACCTACGCCGCCACCAGCAAGTGAGTGACCACCTACGCCGCCACCAGCAAGTGAGTGACCACCTACGCCGCCACCAGCAAGTGAGTGACCACCTACGCCGCCACCAGCAAGTGAGTGACCACCTACGCCGCCACCAGCAAGTGAGTGACCACCTACGCCGCCACCAGCAAGTGAGTGACCAACTACGTCGCCACCAGCAAGTGAGTGACCACCTACGCCGCCACCAGCAAGTGAGTGCGCGTGCAGGGGCGTCACTCGGTGACCAACTATTGCGTTGACGTTTCACCCTGGGATTCCACTTGGCTATCCTTCCCAACACCTCCCAACACCTTCCAACTATTATTTTCAAATATGTCTGAAAATCGTCAAAGGTCAACTTAAGGTGAGTGAGCAGCATTCAGCTGTTGTGCTGCCAGCGTCTTCTGTTGGCCTGTGCTGCCTCTGTGCCCACATGCCATTGCCCTGTGCTCCCTCTGTACCCAAGCCATTGCTTCTCTCCTCCGCTCGCCTGTGTGTCCACCGTGCCCCGTCCACCAGTGTGGCAGCGGGTGTGGTGGCGAAAGCACAGTCCATGTCGTGCCTCACCGCCATCGCCCCCAAAGGTACTGTCGTAGCACGGACAGCACAAATACTGTGGTAGCACGGGTGGTGTGGTAGCACGGGTGGTGTGGTAGCACGGGTGGTGTGGTAGCACGGGTGGTGTGGTAGCACGGGTGGTGTGGTAGCACGGGTGGTGTGGTAGCACGGGTGGTGTGGTAGCACGGGTGGTGTGGTAGCACGGGTGGTGTGGTAGCACGGGTGGTGTGGTAGCACGGGTGGTGTGGTAGCACGGGTGGTGTGGTAGCACGGGTGGTGTGGTAGCACGGGTGGTGTGGTAGCACGGGTGGTGTGGTAGCACGGGCAGCACGGGTGCTGGCAGTGGGGCGTGTGAGACGGCGTGTTCGGCCAACTCGGTGTGTGTGGGGGAGAGCACTGGCGCCACGTGTAACTGCGTGGTTGGCTACACCAAGGTCAACGGGCAGTGCCAGGGTGAGCAGCACGGGTCCTTCTGCTTCGTCCCTTTGCTCCTCTCGTTTCTTCGCCCGTCATCCATTTACCTGTGCCTTCATCCGTTTCCCCACCCCCATTCCCCATCACTTCCCCCACCAGCGAGAGACGTCTGTTTAAATGTCACCTGCCCCGCCAAATGCAACTGCTCCTCTTCCACCGGCGTTCCCAAGTGCTCCTGCCCAGGTGATTGCAACAGAGCCGAGTGTTCCTGCTCAGGTATTTGCAACATCGCTATGCGCTCCTGCTCAGGTGATTGCTACAGTGCCTGTTCTCTCTTGTTCTCATTCGCCCCGTTGCTCGTCCCTTTTCGTCTCCCGTCATCCATTCACCTGTGCCTTCATGCTCCTTCCACTCCCTCTCCCGCTACCCGTTTCCCCACCCCTATTCACCTCTCTCACCAGTGGTGGACGTGTGTAAGATCGTCACCTGCCCCACCAACTGCAACTGCTCCTCTTCCGCTGGCATTGCCAAGTGCTCCTGCCCAGGTGATTGCTACAGAGCCGACTCGGCTCAGTCGAGTGTTCCTGCTCAGATGATCGCAACATCGTCATGCGCTCCTGCCTAGTTCTCCTGTTCAGGCAGTACCAACAGTGCCAAGTGCCCGTTCACACCCCTTCCTTTACCCCCCTTCCTCCACATCCCTCCCCACACCCCCCTCCCTTGGCAGACGCATGCTACGGAGTCAAGTGTCCGGACGTGGCCACGTGTGTGGTGAAGGGCGGTACAGCGGTGTGCCAGTGCCCGGCACCATTCGCACGGCTCATTGACAACAAGTGCTCCTCGGCCGACCTCCCCCACTCCGAATACCTCGACGTTCACAACAACGCCCGCGCTGCTGTGGGGGCCGTACCTCTCGTGTGGGACGACGCAGGTGAGCGAGAGGGAGTGAGCTTCTTTCCCCCATCGCTCCATGGGGCGCATTGGAGTGGGCCGTCCCATCGTCAGCCTGCCTCCCCATGCTTAATGCCGCCTGTGCTGCCTGTGTGGGAGGGACAGGAGAGCGATGCATGAGTGCATGCACGCATGCATCAATGCTCTTTCCTCTCGTGTGACTGCCTCTCGGGCGGACAGGCAATGCGCATGCCATGCCCATCTGAGTCCACCACCACCATGCATCGCCCCTCCTCTCCCTCTCCTCACCTCTCCTCCCAATCCTCGCCGCTCCCTCACCGTACCCCCTCATCCTGTCCCCCCAGTGGCGGCGCACGCGCAGGCATGGGCGACAGCGCTGACCAACAGCACGTACAACTGCGGCATCGTGCACGGCGGGCATGACGGCGAGGGGCAGAACCTCGCCTCTGCCGGGCCGGCGGGGGTCAAGAATGGCTCCGACGCGTCGGGGTGGTGGGTGAACGAGGGGCAGTGGTACACAGTGGATGTCCACCCCAACGGCTGTGCGGGCGGCAACTGGGCCAAGTGCGGGCACTTCACGCAGGTCATTTGGAACGGCACGCGCACACTGGGGTGCGGCAAGGCATCATGCGGCACGAGTGGGGACGTGTGGGCGTGTCATTACTACCCGCCGGGGAACATGCGGGGGGATGCGCCGTATGGTAAGCACCCTGTTCCTCGTGCCCCTCAACGCTTCATGCCCCTCAACGCTCCATGCCCCTCAACGCTCCATGCCCCTCAACGCTCCATCCAATTTCACCTTCACACACGCCTTTGCCCCTTCCCATGCCTTCTTCTGTGCCTGCTCCTTGTTTGGTCAGCATCGGCTGGCCTGTGCTGGTCGTGACTGCGGTGCTTTGCTGTGCTGTGCTGTGCTGTGCTGTGCTGTGCTGTGTGTGCTGTGTGTGCTGTGTGTGCTGGCTGTGCTGTGCTGTGCTGTGCTGTGCTGTGCTGTGCTGTGCTGTGCTGTGCTGTGCTGTGCTGTGCTGTGCTGTGCTGTGCTGTGCTGTGCTGTGCTGTGCTGTGTGTGTGTGCTGGCTGTGCTGTGCTGTGCTGTGCTGTGCCGTGCCGTGCCGTGCCGTGCCGTGCCGTGCCGTGCCGTGCCGTGCCGTGCTGTGCTGTGCGGTGCGGTGCTGCGCTGTGCGGTGCTGCGCTGTGCGGTGCTGCGCTGTGTGGTGCTGCGCTGTGCGGTGCTGCGCTGTGCTGTGCTGCGCTGTGCGGTGCTGCGCTGTGTGGTGCTGCGCTGTGCGGTGCTGCGCTGTGCGGTGCTGCGCTGTGCGGTGCTGCGCTGTGTGGTGCTGCGCTGTGCGGTGCTGCGCTGTGTGGTGCGGTGCCGTACTCTTGGCCCATGGGCCGTCTGTTCTCTACTCCTTCGCCCTTCCCACGCTTCTCTCTCTCTCTCTTCCCGTACGCTCCCTTGTCCACCCCTGTCGCCATCACCATGACCTCCCCGGCAGTGCAAGACCCGTGCTTCAGAGTGCAGTGCCCCTCCACCTCCACGTGCTCAGCAGTGGACGGCAAGCCAGTGTGTGTGTGTGGAGCGGGTCAGGCGCTCGTCAACAGCTCGCGGTGCCTACCAGGTGCTTACCTTTCCCCACCGCCCCTTCTTCTTCTACCTGCCCCTCGTGCACCTCCCATGCACATCCCATGCACCTCCCATGCTCCTCCCATCCCATGCACCTCCCATCCCATGCACCTCCCATCCCATGCACCTCCCGTCCCATGCACCTCCCACCGCATGCCTCCACCTCCTCGTCCCGACGTCTCTCCGTCTCCCGTCCCACCATCACTCCCTCACCACCCACCCTCTCTTCGCGCACCTCCCCTCCTTCCCCCTTTGTCCACTCTTCCTCTCCCCACCCCCCACACCCCCCGCCCTGTGCCAGACCCGTGCATAGGAGTGAGCTGTCCGGCCGGCGACCTGGTGTGTGACGGCAGCACGGGCAAGGCTCAGTGCGCGTGCCCCAAGGGGATGCTGCTCGTTGCCCCCAACACGTGCCTGGGTGAGTGTGCTCCCCCACCCACTCTCTGCTGCCACCGGCTCCACCAACTTCACCATCCACACCCTTGTGGCCCATCCTCACCCCTCCTCACCCCTCCTCACCCCTCCTCACCCTTCCTCAACCCTCCTACCCCCTCCTCAACCCTCCTCACCGCTCCTCACCCTTCTCCTCACTCGCTATCACCCCTCCTCACCTGTCCACACTCCACTGCACCCCGCCACAACCTTTCTCGCCCCTTCTCACCCCTTGTCACCCCTCTGCAGCGCCGGAGTGTGTGGGGGTGCAGTGCCCCTCCACGTCTCGCTGCAAGGCCACCAAAGACGGCATCCCCTTCTGCGCCTGCCCTGCTTGCTCCTCCCTCGTCAACGGCATTTGCACTCAAGGTACTCGTTAATGGCACATCCACTATAGCTTCTCACCATCACCACACGCACTGTCCCGATCACGGCTATCAAGCACTGTAAGCCCGGCTGACCTCTTCTCACCGAGCCCTTCCCTTTCTTGCACTCACCTTCCACACACTCATGCCCCCCCGCCCCTCCCCTGCCCTCTCTCGCTTTCTTTAAAACCTCTGTCCGTTTTTCCCTCCCTCCCTCCCTCCCTCCCTCCCTCCCTCTCCCTCTCCGCCCCTCCCAGCGGCCCCTGCCACAGTGGCAACGAGCCTGGTGATCTACAACGCGCCCAACTTCACCAACTCACCCGTCTCCCTCGCGCCCGCCGTGATCCGAGCCGCCGTGCCCGACGCGAGATGCATCAACGTGCCCACAGCCTTCGCAGGGGCGGTGGGGTCAATCAAAATTCTGTGGGACGTGCCGGACGGGGCGCCGGGGGTGCGGCAGGTGTGCAAGCTGATGTGGTTCAACAATCGCTCCGACTGCTCTGGCTGGTCCAGCGGCTGGGGGAAGCCCGACAGCGGCGTCACTACTGCCGCGTGAGTACCTGCTGCCTGCGCTTCTGCCTCTGCACCTTCCCCTCTCCTGTGCTTGCCCCCCCACTTTCCTCGAGCTTGCCATTGTCTACCCTTATTGGGTGATCCGCTGATTGCGGTTTGCTTGTGCGTGTGCTCTGCAGGACCACGGGTGGTAACGTTGCCACAGTGAGATCCATCGCCTGCTCCGGCACCACAGACAGCACCGTCACCACCGGCAGCACCTGCAGCACGGGCGGCACGGGCGGTACTGGCAGCACGGGCGGCACCGGCAGCACGGGCAGCACGGGCGGCACCGGCAGCACGGGCAGCACGGGCGGCACCGGCAGCACGGGCGGCACGGGCGGCACAGGCAGCACGGGCGGCACCAGCAGCACGGGCGGCACAGGCGGCACCGGCAGCACGGGCGGCACGGGCGGCACCGGCAGCACGGGCGGCACTGGCACTACCGGCAGCACCGGCAGCACGGGCAGTACGGGCGGCACTGGCAGCACGGGCGGCACCGGCAGCACGGGCAGTACGGGCGGCACAGGTACTGTGGTAGCACGGGTGGTGGCAGTTGGGCGTGTGTGACAGCGTGTCCGGCCAACTCGGTGTGTGTGTGTGTGGGGGAGAGCACTGGCGCCACGTGTAGCCACACCAGGGTCAACGGGCAGTGCCAGGGCGAGCAGCACAGGTCCTTATCTTGTTCTCATTCGTCCGTTTGCTCGTCTCGTTTCTTCCCCCGGCATCCATTTACTGCGCCTTCATGCTCCTTCCACTCCCTCTCCTGCCACCCGTTTCCCCACCCCCCTTTCCCCCGTCACTCCCCCCACCAGCGGTGGACATCTGTTTGAACATCACCTGCCCCGCCAACTGCAACTGCTCCTCTTCCGCTGGCGTTCCCAAGTGCTCCTGCCCAGGTGATTGCAACACAGCCTTCTGCTCAGGTGATTGCAACAGAGCCGAGTGTTCCTGCTCAGGTATTTGCAACATCTTCGTGCGCTCCTGCCCAGGTCATTGCTACAGTGTCAGTTCTCCTGCTCAGGTAGTAGCAACAGTGCCAAGTGCTCTTTCACACCCCTCTTGTCAGAAGACCAGCATTGGGGATGGGATGCTCGATTGATCCTAGGGAAGGGTTACAGGCTTGCGAGCTTGGGGGGTTATAGGCGCACTGATCCTCTACTTAACAAGCCCTTTTATCCCAATGATATAGTAGTAGGGATTCTGACACCTCTTTCCATTGCCCTCCCTCGCACCCTTCCCCTTTCAGATGCATGCTACGGTGTCAAGCGTCAGGGTGAGCAGCACGGGTCCTTCCTTCTACTGTTGCTTGTCTCGTTTCTTCTCCCGTCATCCATTCACCTGTGCCTTCATGCTCCTTCCACTCCCTCTCCCGCCACCCGTTTCCCCACCCCCATGCCCATTCATCCCTCTCACCAGTGGTGGACATGTGTACGATCGTCACCTGCCCCACCAACTGCAACTGCTCCTCTTCCGCTGGCATTGCCAAGTGCTCCTGCCCAGGTGATTGCAACAGAGGCGAGTGTTCCTGCTCAGGTGATTGCAACATCGTCATGCGCTCCTGCCCAGGTGATTTCTACAGTGCCAAAGTTTCCTGCTCAGGAAGTAGCAACAGTGCCAAGTGCTCTTTCACACCCCTTCCTCCACATCCCTCCCCCACACCCTTCTCCCTTTTCAGACGCATGCTACGGAGTCAAGTGTCCGGACGTGTCCACGTGTGTGGTGAAGGGCGGTACAGCGGTGTGCCAGTGCCCGGCACCATTCGCACGGCTCATAGACAACAAGTGCTCCTCGGCTGACCTCCCCCACTCCGAATACCTCGACGTTCACAACAACGCCCGCGCTGCTGTGGGGGCCGTGCCTCTCGTGTGGGACGACACAGGTGCGGCTTCTTGCCCCCCTTTCCCATCGTCAGTCTGCCTCGCCATGCTTAATACCGCCTGTGATCTCTGTGTGTGTTTTGAGGGACAGGGGAGCGATGCATGAGTGCATGAGTGCATGAGTGCATGCAGGCATGCATCATTGCGCTCTCCTCTCCTAATACTGCCTCTCGGGCGAATAGGCAATGCACATGCCATGCACATCTCAGTCCACCACCACCACGCATCGCCCCTCCTCGCCCTCTCCTCACCTCTCCTCCCCTTTCCCCCATCTGCCTATCCCCCCAGTGGCGGCGCACGCGCAGGCATGGGCAACAACGCTGACCAACAGCACGTACAACTGCGGCATCGTGCACGGCGGGCATGACGGCGAGGGGCAGAACCTCGCCTCTGCCAGCCCGGCAGGGATCAAGAATGGCTCCGACGCGTCGGGGTGGTGGGTGAACGAGGGGCAGTGGTACACAGTGGATGTCCACCCCAACGGCTGTGCGGGCGGCAACTGGGCCAAGTGTGGGCACTTCACGCAGGTCATTTGGAACGGCACGCGCACGCTGGGCTGTGCCAAGGCGTCGTGCGGCACGGGGTCAGACGTGTGGGCGTGCCATTACTACCCGCCGGGGAACGTCCGCGGCCTGCCGCCTTATGGTAACCACCCTGCTCCTCACGCCCCTCACGCCCCTCAAACCCCTCAACGCTCCACACCTTGCCCCATCCCCTCCCCATGCCTCCTCCTGTGCCTTTTTTGGTCAGCTTCGGCTGCCCTGTGCTGGTGGTGACTGCGCCGTTGTGCTGTGATGCTTCAGTTCTCTGTTTTTACAGCCCATCCTTGCAACCGAGCTGCTCAGCAGTGCTTTGCGGTGCTGTGTGGTGCTGTACTCATGGCCCATGGGCCTGTCTACTCCTCCGCCCTTCACACACTTCACTCCGTCCCCTCCCTTCTCCACCCCCCGTCGTCATCACCGTGACTTCTCCAACAGTGCAAGACCCGTGCTTCAGAGTGCAGTGCCCCTCCACCTCCACGTGCTCAGCAGTGGACGGCAAGCCAGTGTGCGTGTGTGGAGCGGGTCAGGCGCTCGTCAACAGCTCACAGTGCCTACCAGGTGCTTACCTTTCCCCAGCGCCCCTTCTTCTTCTACCTGCCCCCAAATCTCCATCTTCTCCCTGCCCCCATCTTCCCCCAACCCTCCATCTTCTACCTGCCCAATGAACCCTTCCACTTGCATATCCTCTGACCTTGGGTTGGGGCACAGTGTGCCATGCACAGTGTGCCACTCCCATCCCATCCCACCGCATGCCACCATTCTCACTTCACACGCATTGCTTTCCTCGTGCATGTACCATGTCTCCATCCATCCCTTGCACCTCCCATGCACCTCCCATGCACCTCCATCGCATGTCTCCTCCCCCCATCCCACCATCACTCCCTCGCCACCTACCCCATGCGGCTTGAATCATCCTCACGTCGCTCCTGCACCTCCCCTCCTTCCTTTCTATCCCACTCTCCCTCCCTTCCCAGACCCGTGCATAGGAGTGAGCTGTCCGGCAGGCGACCTGGTGTGTGACGGCAGCACCGGCACGGCTCAATGCGCGTGCCCCAAGGGGACGGTGCTTGTTGCCCCCAACACGTGCCTGGGTGAGTGTGCTCCCACCCCGGCTTCATCACCTTCACCATCCACACCCTTGTGCTCCATCCTCACCCTTCCTCACCCCTCCTCACCCCTCCTCACCCCTCCTCACCCTTCTCCTCACTCGCTATCACCCCTCGTCAGCCCTGCTCACCTGTCCACACTCCACTGCACCCCTCCACAACCTTTCTCCCTCCTTCTCACCCCTTGTCACCCCTCTGCAGCGCCGGTATGTGTGGGGGTGGAATGCCCCTCCACGTCTCGCTGCAGAGCCAGCAAAGACGACATCCCTTTCTGTGCCTGCCCTGCTTGCTCCTCCCTCGTCAACGGCACCTGCACTCAAGGTACTCATTATTAGCACATCCGCTATAGCTACTTACCATCAGCTCACGCACACGCACTGTCCCAATCACGGCTATCAAGCACTGTAAGCCCTGCTGACCTCCTCTCACCGAGCCCTTCTCTTTGTTGCACTCACCTCCCACACACTCTTCTGTGATCTCTCCCTCCCTCCCATTTTCTAACTCTGTCCCCTTCTCCCTCTCTTCCTCCCTCCCTCCCTTTTCCCTTTTGTCCGTTTCTCCCTCGCTCCCTCCCTCCCTCCCTCCCGCTCTCTCTCTCCCTCCCTCCCATCCTCTCTCCCTCTTTCCCTCCCTCCCTCCCCTTTCTCCCTCCCTCTATCCTCTTCCCACAGGGGCCCCTGCCACAGTGACAATCAGCCTGGTGATCTACAACGCGCCCAACTTCACCAACTCACCCGTCTCCCTCGCGCCCGCCGTGTTCCGAGCCGCCGTGCCCGACGCGGGATGCGTGAACGTGCCCGCAGCCTTCGCAGGAGCGGCGGGGTCAATCAAAATCCTGTGGGACGTGCCGGACGGAGCGGCGGGGGTGCGGCAGGTGTGCAAGCTGATGTGGTTCAACAATCGCTCCGACTGCTCTGGCTGGTCCAGCGGCTGGTGGAAACCCGACAGCGGCGTCTCAACCTTTGCGTGAGTCACAACCTTTGCGTGAGTCACAACCTCTGCGTGAGTCACAACCTCTGCGTGAGTCACAACCTCTGCGTGAGTGCCCGCTGCCTGCGCTTCTGCCTCTGCACCTTCCCCTCTCCTGTGCTTGCCCCCCCACCGCCCCTCGAGCTTGCCGTTGTCTACCCTTTATTCGGTGATCCACTAACTGCGGTTTGCTGCTGTCTGCTTGTGCGTGTGTTGTGCTCTCCAGGACCACGAGTGGTAACTTTGCAACAGTGAGATCTATCGCCTGCTCCGGCAGCACAGACAGCATTTACGGCACGGGCGGCACATGCAGCACTGGCAGCACCGGCAGCACCGGCAGCACGGGCAGCACGGGCGGCACGGGCGGCACTGACAGCACCGGCAGCACGGGCAGCACCGGCAGCACCGGCAGCACCGGCGGCACTGACAGCACAGGCAGCACGGGCGGCACGGGCGGCACTGACAGCACAGGCAGCACGGGCGGCACCGGCAGCACCGGCAGCACGGGCGGCACTGACAGCACAGGCAGTACGGGCAGCACCGGCAGCACGGGCGGCACGGGCGGCACTGACAGCACCGGCAGCACGGGCGGCACCGGCAGCACCGGCAGCACGGGCGACACTGACAGCACAGGCAGCACGGGCGGCACTGACAGCACAGGCAGTACGGGCGGCACCGGCAGCACGGGCGGCACGGGCGGCACTGGCAGCACCGGCAGCACGGGCAGCACGGGCGGCACTAACAGCACTGGCAGCACAGGTGAGAGGGGCAGCAGTGGCAGCTTGGGCAGGTGGGGTGGGGCGGTAGCAGTGGGGCACGTGCAGAGGGATGCCCGGCCAACTGCGTGTGCGTGTTGGAGGGCACTGGCGCACCAAGGCCAATGGGCAGAGCGAGGGGAAGCAGAATTAGGATTTTGTTCATTCTTGTTCGCCCTTCCTTTGCCTCGTTCCTCCTCCCGTTATACGCATCTGTGCCTTCTTTCTTCCTCCACTCCCTCCTTCTCCCCCCCACCCTTTCCTACCTTGCTTCCACCTGCCACCCATTCCCCCACCCAGAACCTCTCTCCCACTGCCCCCCTCACCAGTGGTGGACATGTGTACGATCGTCACCTGCCCCACCAACTGCACCTGCTCCTCTTCTGCTGGCATCGCCAAGTGCGCCTGCCCAGGTGATTACAACAGTGCCCAGGTGATTACAACAGTGCCCAGGTGATTTCAATGTAGTCAAATGTTTGACATTGCTGTGCTCACATCACAGATGCTTATTGGTGCTAACCGGTATACACCAGTCTAGTCCTGCCAGTTTCCTTCCTCGTCCCCCCCTTCCTCGCCCCTCTTCCTCACATCTCCTCCCACACCCCACCCTCCACCCACCCTCTCTCCCCTCCACTCAGACCCATGCTACGGAGTCAAGTGTCCGGACGTGTCCACGTGTGTGGTGCAGATCGGTACCGCGGTGTGCCAGTGCCCGGCGCCGTTCACGCGCCTCATAGACAACGTGTGCTCCTCGGCCGACCTTGACCACTCCGACTACCTCGATATGCACAACCACGCCCGCGCTGCCGTGGGCGCCGTGCCGCTTGTGTGGGATGACACATGTGAGTGTGGAACGACGCATGTGTTTGTGGGACGTGCATGTGAGTGTGGGGTGGTGCGAGTGAGTGTGGGTTCTGGTGGGAGGGGGGTGATGCATTCGTGCATGTGAGAGTGAGTGAGCTTCTCTCCCCGCCTTTCGCATCGGCAGATTGCCTCAACGTGCTCTATGCCGCCTGTGCTGCCTCAACGTTCCATGCACATGCCATGCACATGCCATGCACATGCCATGCACATGCCATGCACACATGTCATGCACATGCCATGCACACATGTCATGCACATGCCATGCACATGCCATGCACATGCCATGCACATGCCATGCACATGCCGTGCACATGCCGTGCACTGCCATGCACATGCGTGCACATGCTGTGCACATGCCATGCCATGCACATGCCGTGCACATGCCATGCACATGCGTGCACATGCTGTGCACATGCCATGCACATGCCATGCACATGCCATGCACATGCCGTGCACATGACATGCACATGCCGTGCACATGCCGTGCACATGCCGCGCACAAGCCATGCACATGCCATCACATGCCGTGCACATGCACATGTCATGCACATGCCATGCACATGCCGTGCACATGCCATGCACATGCCGTGCACATGCCATGCACATGCCATGCACATGCCGTGCACATGCCGTGCACATGCCATGCACATGCCATGCACATGCCGTGCACATGCCGTGCACATGCCATGCACATGCCGTGCACATGCCATGCCCATCTCAGTCCACCGCACCATGCATCGCCCCTCCTCTCCCTCTCCTCACCTCTCGTCCCCTCCCCCCCTCCTCCTGTGCTCCCAGTGGCGGTGCACGCGCAGGCATGGGCGACAGGGCTGACCAACTCTACCAACAACTGCTACCTAACGCACGGCGGCAACGACGGCGAGGGGCAGAACCTGGCAGTCACGGCCCCCACGGGGTGGGCATCGAACGCAAGGGGAGTGCGCTTCTGGGTGGACGAGGGGCAGTGGTACTCGGTGGCGGCGTATCCCAGCGGCTGTGATGGGGGGCAAGTGTGCGGGCATTACACGCAGCTCGTGTGGAACGACACGCGCAAGGTGGGGTGCGCCAAGGCATCGTGTGCGGCCAGTGCAGCCGTGTGGGGGGGAGGCACGACTGCGGACGTGTGGGCGTGCCATTACTACCCGCCCGGCAACTGGCAAGGCGACCTGCCCTACGGTGAGTACCCACTTCCGCAGTCGCGTCACCGCTCCACTCATGCTCATCTACACACCACTTGCCTCCACGCTTTTCATTTCGTCACCAGCTGCACTGTGGTTGCTGGCTGCACCGGTGGGAGCGCCGGGGAGCTGGCTGCAGGCATGAGCAAGTTTGAGCTTCACCCGGAGACTCCCTCAGCTGTGCCGTGCGGTGCTGTGCTCGTGGCCCACGGGCTGTAACCCATGCCCTCGCCTTTCCAACCCGCACCTCTCTCAGCGCTCCACATCCGCTTCCCCCGTCCTCTCGTCTCCACCACCCCCCTCGCCTTGCCCCCCCCGGCAGTGCAAGACCCGTGCTTCCGAGTGCTGTGCCCCTCCACCTCCACGTGCACCGTGGTGGGCAAGAAGCCTGTGTGCGTGTGTGCTGCCGGTCAGGCACTCGTCAACAACTCGCAGTGCCTTCCAGGTGCGCACCTGCCCCCAAACCCCCTTCTTCCTGCCCTAATAACCCTTTGACCTGCCCCAACAGCCCTCCCACTAGCGTGCCCTCTCACCCACGGTCACCACATACCGCTTCCCATCCCACCGCGTGCCTCCACATCCACTCCCATCCCATTGTCACTTCCCACACATCCCCTTCCTCATGCACCTCCCTCATGCACCTCCCTCATGCACCTCCCTCATGCACCTCCCTCATGCACCTCCCACCACATGCCTTCACCTCCACACCCCTATGTTTCTTTATCTCCCATCCATCCCACCATCACTCCCTCACATCTTGTCACCCTCCTCCTGTACCCCTCTGCCGCACTCCCACACCCCCCGCCCTCGCCCAGACCCGTGCATAGGAGTGAGCTGTCCAGCAGGCGACCTGGTGTGTGACGGCAGCAACGGCACGGCGCAGTGCGCGTGCCCCAGGGGGATGCTGCTCACCGCCCCCAACACGTGCCTCTGTGAGTGTGCTGTCTCGCCCACGCTCTGCTGCTCCTGCTGCTGCCTGCTTCTTTGTGCGCCCCCCTCGTTCATCGATCGTCACTCATTATCAACCCTTGTCACCCCTCGGCAGTGCCGGTATGTGTGGGGATAGAGTGCCCCTCCACGTCTCGCTGCACGGCCACCAGCGACGACATCCCCTTCTGCGCCTGCCCTGCTTCCTACTCTCTTGTCGACGGCACCTGCATTCAAGGTACTCGTTATTGGCAGATCCCGCTTTAGCTTCCTGATCACGGCTATCAGGCACTGTAAGACCTGCCTCTCACGAAGCCCTTCTCTTTGTTGCTCTTAACTTGCCCCCTCACCCCCTTCCATCCCTCTCGTGCCCTCTCCCTCCCTCCGTTTTTTATCTGTCCCTTTATCCCTCTCTCCCTCTCTCCCTCCCTTCCTTTTCCTCTGTCCCTCTCTCACAGGGGCCAACTCCACAGTGACATCGAGCCTGGTGCTCTACAACGCGCCCAACTTCACCAACACACCCGCCTCACTCGCGCCCGTCGTGCTCCGAGCCTCCACGAACTGTGTCAACGTCCCCGCAGCCTTCGCAGGGGCGGTGGGGTCAATGAAGATCCTGTGGGACGTGCCGGACGGGGCGGTGGGAGTGCGGCAGGTGTGCAACCTGATGTGGTTCAACAATGATACCGACTGCTCTGGCTGGTCCAGTGGCAAGTACAAGGCTGCCAACGGTCTCACAACCCTTGAGTGAGTACCTGCCGCCTTCGCTTCTGCCTCTGCACCTTCCCCTGTGCTTTCCCCTCCACCCCCCAACAAGCTTGCCTCTGGATTTCGTTACTGAGTGATACACTAACTGTGGTTTGCTGGTGCCTGCTTGTGCTGTGTGCTCTCCAGGACCACGAGTGGTCACTTCGCTAATCTGCGATCTATCGCCTGCTCACCTTGAGGAAGAGATGAGCATCGCTGCCCCACGAAGCAGAGCTGAGCAGAGCGGCAGCTGTGGTTTAGTCTGAAGCCGTAGGTCCTGACATTTTTCTTGTTGTATGGCTCCCACTCAAATGCATACTATATTATGGCATAAAATGTAATGATCAAAGTGTACGGCACCGTAACCCTTTGGAGGAAAGACCTGTAACTTTTGACCCCAGCCTTGCTCATGCAAGCTGGGTAGTTTTATTCGAGCATGTTATGAGTTACGCTGTCAATACCGAAGTGTAAACAGCGGAATGAATGAACTAGGCAAGAAGGGGATACAAATAGGAAACCTAAACTGATGTACCCCATAGTGCATGCCCCACTATAGCCTAGATATCAAGCGACCACAAGACCATTCAAAATGGGGGACAACAAGCGGTCACAATACCATTCAAAAGAAGCAAGAAAGCAAGCTCAGGATGGATCTCAAGATCACCACACAGTCCGAGCACAAACAAGCGGCCACAAGGTCAGTCCACATGCAGTGTTATAGTAACAAAGCAGTACACTGATTACAACCTAGCATGAGTAAACATGCATGTATATATACATCAAAGTACAAGACAAAGTCAAGAGACAAGCAAGTGAGGCAGAGTAGGCACAAGGCCTAGAGCAGTGTAGAAACGCTGATGATCACCAGACCCTAGGGCCTTGGTGAAGATATCAGCAGTGTTGGCCTGTGAGGCGACGTAAGCAAGGCGAAACTGACCACGCTGCTGTAGCTCTCGTGCAAAAAGGTAACGAAGAGCAATGTGCTTCGTTTTGTGCTACAGTCTATGCTCCCGAAATAGGCAATCATGGCCTTGTTGTCGACGTACAGAACTGGAGGAGAACGAGGCCGCTCACCCAAGTCGGTCAGCAAGTAGGACAGCCAGAGTAACTCCTACGCAGCCATAGCCCCAGCGTAGATCTCGGCCTCACAGCTGGAGCTAAGCACAAAAGACGAACGAGTGGACCTCCACGAGACAGAACCAGTGCCGAGACTGAAAGTGTAACCCTGTGACGACCGCTGGGTCTCCTGGTCGTCAGCCCAAGAAGCGTCTGAGTGCCCGGTGAGCACAACTCGGCCCTGTCCCCAAGCATAAGCCCCATGCCTGATGTACTGCACAAGTAACGCAGTACCCTAGTAGCAGCCCGGTAGTGCTCAGGCAGTGACTCCCGGGCGCAACGTAGCGCGCCAGGATGCTGAGAGGGTACGCGAGGTCAGGCCAAGTGCACGTCATCAGGTACATGAGGCAGCCCACAAGCTCTGGATACGGACCACTCGGCTCTACGGACTCGTCCGAAGGTGGAGCTAAGAGCGAGTGGCTCATAGGCAGAGGAGTGGACTGTGACGAGGAGAACAGAAAGCGGAAGCGCTGAAGGACCTGCTGCACCATGTGTGACTGAGTCAGAGTGATGGTGCGCGCTGCTCTCTCTCGAGTGATCTGTTAGTCAAGATAGCTGCGCAGCTCACCCAGGTCAGTGCAGGTGTGTCTCTTCTACAGCTCCGCCTTCACAAGGGTCAGCGCCTCAGTGTCGGCAGTAGCAAAGACCAAGTCGTCGACGTACATGAGAATGTAGAACGGCGGCAGCGAAGGGTCGGTGCGTAGAAACAGCGACGGGTCAGCAGTCGAAGGAGTAAAACCAAGAGCCGCAAGTGTCATCCTCAGTGTGTCGTGCCACTCGCGGGGCGCCTGGAGGACACCGTAGACTGGCCGCCGGAGGCTCCACTGGGTAACCTCAGGAAACGACCCAGTGAAACCAGGTGGGCGGCACAGCCAGATCTCCTCGTGTAGGCTGCCCTGCAAGAAAGCTGTGGAGAAGTCGAGCGAGAGCAGCTCGCAGTCTCACTGTGCTGCAACGTGCAGTAACACCCGAAGAGTAGTCATCTTCGGGGTGGGGGAGAAGGTCTGGAAGAAGTCAACCCCCGTACGCTGACTGAAGCCTCGTGCAACGTAACGCGCCTTGGAGACAGGCGGAGAACCCGGCAACCGCTTCACCCTGAAATCCACATGCCATCGACTATGTTCGCCCCACGAGGGGGAAATGCGTTGACGTAGGTGCATGTGGACTTCCAGGATGCCATCTCTGCGTCCATGGCTGTCTGCCACTGAGAGGAGTACTGACCCGTGATCGCCTCTGGGTAGGAGCGCGGGGTCAGGATGTCTAGTGCATCCGGGTCTCCCTCAGGGGCAAGCAGCATGGCAGCGAGATGAGGTACAGCAGCCGCAAAGCACTCGAGCTCAAACTGCATGTCCTCAAGTACGTCACTGCCAAGGGCAAGCTCACCCCGACGGACGGAGGACAGTCAGACTCAGAAACAAGACTCGCGAAGTAGTCAAGGCGGCAGGCAGCAGCAAAGTCTACGAGCTCAGTGATTAAGGCAGACGCAGCAGCAGACTCAAAGGTAGGGTCAGTGACAAGTGTGGCCAGACAGCGAGTGACAGTAGGACTAGCAGCTGGAGCAAGGTCTGACTTAGGGTCAGGAACGTCAGGAACGTCAGGAAGAGAGGACGCTGGAGGAGACGGCCGGACATGATGCTGTGCAACAGAGGAAGGGCGGAGTGCTATAGTGTGCTCACTGGGAACAGGTGGAGGGCGAACACGGCGAGCACGACGAGCAACAGGTGAGGCACGACGGGACGCAGGCTCTCGACGCTTAGTCAGGGAGTCTGTTAGCTCAGTGGGGAGTGGGGAGTCAGGCGATGGAGTCACCAGAGGAGGAGAAGTACCAGTGGTTGGCGGCTCTGCAGAGGCAGACGGAAGACGAAGAACCTGGTGAAGTGCCGAGCCAGGTGGTGGCAGTGACGACTGCGGCTGGTCTCAGAAGAACAGTCGCCGCTGTCGTGGCTGCGCAGTACTCCCAGCTCTAGTACCTCCAGCGGCACTACCTCCAGCTCCAGTACCTCCAGCACCAGAACCTCCAGCACCGCCAGCTCCAGCACCTCCAGCTCCAGTACTTCCAGCACTACCAGCTCCAGCACCTCCAGCTCCGATACCTTCAGCACCAGAACCTCCAGCACCTACGGCAGCAGAACCTCCAGCACCAGAACCTCCAGCACCGCCAGCTCCAGCACCTCCAGCTCTAGTACCGACATCACCAAAAACTCCAGCACCTCCAGCGGAAGGACCTCCAGCACCAGAATCTCCAGCACCGCCAGCTCCAGCACCTCCAGCTCCAGTACCTCCAGCACCAGAACCTTCAGCACCTCCAGCGGCAGTACCTCCAGCACCGCCAGCTCCACCACCTTCAGATCCAGTACCTCCAGAACCTCCAGCAACGGACTCAGGAAGAGGCAGCGACGACTGCTGCTGCTCCAAGTAGTAGGGGCGCCGCGGCAGAGGTTGCAACGCATTCGCACAACCTCCAGTAGTAGCACCCTCGACTCCACCACCACTAGGCCGCTCAGCACCCCGAGCACCAGCACCCCCAGAACCTCCAGAAACGGAATCAGGAAGAGGCAACGACGACTGCTGCTGCTCCCAGTAGTAGGGGCGCCGCTGCAGAGGCTGCAACGCACCCGCAGACCCTCCAGTAGTAGCACCCTCGACTCCACCACCACTAGGAAGCTCAGCACCCCCAGCACCAGCACCCCTAGAACCTACAGCAACGGACGCAGGAAGAGGCAGCGACGACCGCTGTTGCTCCCAGTAGTAGGGGCGTCGTGGCAGAGGCTGCAACGCACCCGCGGAACCTCGAGTAGTAGCACCCTCGACTCCACCACCACCAGGACGCTCAGCACCCCCAGAACCAGCACCCCCAGAGTCAGCACCCCCAGACCCAGCACCCCCAGAGCCCGCACCTCCAGCGTCACCACCCCCAGCAGCACCGGAGTCCACAGCGACAGGCTGCAGAGGCGGCGAAGGCGGCCGAGGCGAAAAACCAGAAGGGGTCTCTAAGTGTGGTGAGCGGCGAGAAGTTGCAGTGTTGTCAGCAGCAGGGTCATCCCTCTCAGCCGGGCCAGCAGGGTCTGAGGAGACCTCGAAAGGCTCAACCAAGAGGGGTGGAGTGACCTGAGACACACCTGAGGTAGCAGGACGCGAAGGGGGAAGGAGGGGGTCTACCGGCGGGTAACTTGGAACCAGGAAGAGGGGCGGGGGGGGGTACCGGGGAACTGCAGTGGGGGAAGAGACGATAATAGCAAATCGACTCGTCAAAGTCACGGGAGGAAGGACGCGGCGCGTGGCAGGGTGGTAAAACTGCCAAGGCGGGGCGTCGGTGGGAAAGCCAAGGAAGACGCAGCGAATAGTGCGAGGAGAGAGCTTGCCCGCGGTAGTATCGCGGACAAGGGCAAGCGAACCCCAGACCCGAAACGCCGACGCATCGCCAACCTCCCCCGTCCAACGCAGTGTAGGCGAGGCCTCTGGCTCGGAGACACGGGGCCAGAGGTTGAGCTGATGCGCGGCGTATCGGACCGCAAACGACCACAGCCAATGGGGAGCAACCGCATGGATCATAGAGGTGCGGGCCACCTCCATGATCAAGCCAATGCGGCGCTCAGCGATCCCATTCTGCTGTGGAGAAGCCGGAAGCGTGAACGTCTGGGTGATGCCCTCCTAACGACAAAAGTCCTCGAGGAGATCGGAGGAAAACTCACCTCCACGGTCAGAATGCACACGGAGCACCGGTAGGTCCTGACGACCGTGCGCTCAGCTGGCGGCGGACAGCACGGATCCAAGGGATCAAAACAACACGGACATCTCCTTTGTGCCGCAAGGGAAACACCGTGGTGCAGCGCGTGTAGTCTTCGACGACCAGAAGGAAGTAGCGCTCCCGGCCCGGCCCAGAG